CAAATGTGCACAATCCGATGTGTTTATTTTTGCACATTTACGGATTTTTAATTATTGACGAGCAAACTGATCAGTTGGGGGCTTTTACAATGAAAATAATTCATTTTCAACCGCACCGTGGCCAACTGATGAATCTCGTCACTGATTCGGGGATTACGTTATCACGCAATACGCAAATAATTAAAAGGGGACTAAACTGGACCCATGTCGATATTGACGACTGAATTATCGAATTGTTAATCCGGCATTTTCAGAGCCCTCAATATCTGGTACCGCATTTAGGTCAATACATGTTTTTTAATCAGCGTGCGTTAATTGTTTTTTCTTCATGGCTGTATACTGGGTGGAATAGTCCATTATTAAATATGTACATGTTAGTGAAGTATTCCCGAAAAGTCCTGGCCTGAGGAATAATTCTTATTTTGGACGCTGAGGAAATAAAGATAAAATTAAACCGGTTTTAATGCCGCTTTTAATAGTGTTTGGTTGGCAGTAAGACTTAAAGTCAACTGTGAAAACACAAACAATTTATAAAAACTATGTGTCAATGAAAATAATCAGAAGTCAAAACATTTCTCACCTATCCAATTCGAACTTACAAATTGTAAACAGAAATGCGTCCTAAAATAGGTTTATTTGAAAATAGCCAAGGAATTTTTTGAATTTATAAACATCGGTGACCTGTTGGTTATTTTACAACTTTGTGTTACAAGACAAATTTGGATACACATAAAATTATATGTTATTAATAGAAAATGTTGTCGTCAAATGTTTACTTGAAAATGTATTTTCTCGATCTTGAAAAATGATGGAAATTCATCGCCGTTGAGTTGCTGAAATTCTAGCTACTTAATATTAAATTGATATTCGGTAATGTGAAGCAGGCAATGAGCAGGATCTTTGATTATTTAATACGTTCCGCTCTTTTCGCAGAATTTAACACCGGAAGTTATATGTCATAGGCGAGTAATTGCTGGTTTGATTTACATAATAAGGTGCAGAACAAAAATGCATTTATATGCAGGATTATCTCGATCTCAGCACATGCAAAGACACGACAAACATTAAACGCTTACAGGGTGGCACCGTATAATTACCCCTTTATTTATTTCCTCCAGTATTCGTGTCCGTTGATTTTCGGCAAATTTGCAATTCCGAATGCTTCAACTTCACTTAGGTTTAAGTATGGGTAATATTCGGCCTCGGCCAACATTATGTTATTTCCATACACTTAATGTCCCTTAGATCACGTTTTCAGATAAACTCATTTTGATTTGATATGTGCACTTTTAGTCACGATAGGTATGTATACGCCTTTGAATGCATGATATTTTTATTAGTGTGCAATTTGCTGCCATTCTCGTTTTATTGCTGTTGTTTACATACCCCCCATCAGCCTCTATTTGACTTACAAAAGCACTAAAACTACTTACTGCCTTGATTTATACCTAACTTATTTTACCGTTAAACGGCAAGTGGTTTTATATAAAGTGTATTTTTTTATGTTTTATCTGTGTCTGTACACTTGAGATTGAAGGTTCTTGCTAAGTATACTAATAACTTTTGGTTAATGCCTGGACTAATACTGAATAACCAATGATCAATAGGTCACAATTCGCAACGTTGTTCTCCCCTATTTTAATTTCCTTGAGTACTTAATCATATAACATATACGCTCATATATCTAGAGAATAAATTTTGCCAAATCTGGGAAAGTTATTAAGATTGTATCTTGACGAACGACGTCACTTATAAAGGCGACATCAGTTTCCTTCCCCCGGCGTTATAAGGTTAGTGTCATAGAGTTATGGATTAGTTGGCTCGGTCAAAGCAATATGTCAACTGTGAAAAACTTCGTCTTAACCGATTTAGACATCGGGCGGACTAATGAAAACTGATAGTTTTTTAAAGCAGCGAACAGCGAAAGGTCTTCAATATACTACAGATAAAAGGTATTTTTCGGGACCTTCGGCAATAAATAATTTGAAAATCACGTTGCTGAAAATGAATGGATTATTTTAATGCTCTTCACCATTCACTGATTTGAAAAGTTTGGAATTTACAGAAACATTGCTTGTACCAACAGTTTCTACTCTAGTGATAAGCAAAGCTAGACCAAGACCAAGACTTGCATGGTCTTGCTTTTGCAGCAAGGGTCCAGCAAGCAGTAATAACCACCATAATGAAATAATCTCAGGCAGTTTGCCATTTGATTTCTGAATGATTTTCTTGTTATTACTAGTTATTATCTTGTTTATTTATTATTAATGCGTCAACCAAAAAAATGAGTTGATTCCATCCGCCAAATAAAAAGTTCTGGTAGTTTTTGTACCACGACACTCAAGAATTCACCACTTGTCCAAAACGGCTGAACTCGATTGTTTCATCAAAATATACTTACATAAGAACAAATTCACAGTGAATTTCACCAAAATGTATCGTACTATTCTCTCGATATTTCAAAAAAGGTAATTTTTTGAGGAACTTTGACCATCAATAGCATAGAAGCCAGACATATTTTGTTAGTAAAAGTTTGGTCACATCGTCTTCTTTTGATCCAAATAATACCGCAGTACCCTTTTGAACATGTGCTTACGGGTATGCTGTAAACTGTTCAGTGATCTTTAATAACTACTTGATGTTGACAGTTTTCTAAAATGTGCCTAAAAACATTTTTTTTTTACTGCTCCAATTTTAATGTAAAAGTTTAAAAAATATTCGAACAAATTTTTGTACCAACTACCCTCCGATATCCGTAAGGAAAAATATCTGAAACACTTATGTGAAGCCCTGCTTTATTTATGCCCCACTTGTTCGAAGCTTGAATTCCTAATTTTATGTTTTCTTGTACAAAATGTGTCGTTGGTTTGTTAAGCGTTTACAACGCTTGAATTTTCTCATCATATGTAGGGGTTACGAGACACATTTAATGTGGTTCACTATCGAAATACCTTCTCTTCTTTCAGGAGTTTTTCGGACCTCTTTTTCAATCGGTCGACTAGAATTGCTTGAGTCCGATTTCAAATCGGCAGCACCAAAAAGACGGTTTTTAAACTACCAGGTGAACTGGACCCTGGCTTGCATTGTATGAAACCATATACAGTGGTCGGGAAAAGCGTAGGCGATTTAATTAAATTTGATTTTATTTCTCGTAACCCAACGACTTTTCAATTCGACTGGTGTGTCACGTGTGCCCTGTCGAAAACCCCATTATTCCATTCCCGGTTGACGATAACGACAGGAAAGCAATTAACCTATTTATACCGGTTGTGGGTGGTCACTGTTGGCCCGATCACATTAAAATAACCATTGGAAAAAGTTATATTGCCTCTATTAAATGCATTTAATTTATACAAAAAAACGAATTTATTTTATCTTGGTCCTGAACGAGATCCAAGGGCAGCGGTGTCAACAAGGCAAAATTTTGCAAATAAAATGAAATATTTTGAATCCACAATTTTTTAGCTTTGTCAGCAAGTAAATTTTTCTCCTGACACGTGTTTTGGCAACCGTAATATCAGCTTCACTGATGAAATATCGACCAAATAGTCAAAGCCGGTAATATCATATTGTCAACCCCTATTTTAAATAGAGCCCAAGGAAAATATTAATTGGTGTTGATTCCTTGGAAGGTAAAGCTCAGACACGCGCCAAGTTAAGCAAAGGGAAATTTTCTTAAGGAATTAAAGGAAGTGAATTATGTGAGGACTAATAGTGTTCAGGATAAACAATAATCGGGTGGCAAAATGAAAAATTCACGGGGTGTGACATGCGTGTCACTCTGCGGGGACCCCGTAACGTAAAAGCGACCGTTAAAACTGTCTACCCGACGATTAAATTAAATTAAAATGTAATGCTGCGAGATGTACGAGAATCACTTATTAAATTACAACATGCAACTATATAGCTATTAAGGGCCTCAATTTCAGACCCTAAACATATTAATATTTGTTTTGGGCACACCCTCGTTCTTCAAAAGTGTCACTGGCAACGTTCAGAAATTATATCATCCTAAAGGGTTCATTAGGTGTACAGGGTGACACTAACATTGTGACATGCCCGCTGATCGTCAAAGGGGTTAGATGATTGATATACTTATTGTTTTGTTTGCACAGTGTTTGTAGTATGGAGGGCTGTTGGGCCGCAAATGCGTGAAATAATTTAATTACACTACTTATGCGACAATGAGCTGCAGACGTTTTTAATTTGGTTTTCGTGATTTGACAAGTTTTGCTGAAAATTCGCGGAAGTCTTCAATCGATGCCTGATTTTCTACAGTGTTCAATAAACATGGCACTGATTTACTTCACACTTGCAAAATTTTAAAATATAACTGCTAAATCTAATATTCATGCCGAGCACTAAAAATGGAAAGATGGGCATAACGTGACCAGGATACAAAATATCATATTTATGCCCAATGTCCGATAGTCGGAATTATATAATATTTTTTCTGATTGATGGTCGATATTTTAAGGGTTACGAATGTCGGTGGTTCGGAGAAATAAATTCGGTTTCCACAATGTACTGTGAAATGAGTTTTACCTTGGACGGGAAGTTTGAAATTATTTAGCATGGCGGTTTTCAAATGCAATTGCTGAGTAGAATGTAGAAGCAGATCTGGTACAAACATTTCAACTCTAATAATATTAACATACGGACACAACTTGTCTTAGTTTGCTTCTAAACCAGGCCGGCTTTTATCACCAAGTCGATGATAAATTAACTAACATTTGAATAATATGGGGAAAGTATGTGCATATTGCTAATCAGATCTAGTCGCTCCCTACAGCTTTTTCCATGTCTTGCCCCAAATAAGGCAGTACAAGTACGATGGATATTTGCAAGTGCAATTATTTCTAGACCATCTTGAAGTTGACATTTGTGGCGATAATAACGAAAATGGTGTTTATAAATCGCACAGCGTAGGTAGCTATTAATAAATTGAGCAAAATTAAAATGTTAAGGTTGCCTGGGCTAGTCTTTGAAATGGTACTTACCGTGAGGTACCCAACCGTGGTTGCAAGTTTCGCAGTAGCGTAGTCGCAACTTTCCCGGGATGAAATTCTCACAATTGCAGTTCGGTATTGTGCAGCGAATTTGCTGAAAACGAAATAAAAAGCTTTAAACATTATCGTGATAAACCACAAAAAAATGCCATATTAATAAAAATTCGCAACCAAAAAAAACATTATTCAATGTCTCAGAAGTAACAAACTGGGTAGACACAGCACTGGTGTCGGGGGATATCAATACCAAATCAGTTCCTAGTAATGGAATTCTTTATGTGCAATTCCCTTCTAAAAGAACTGAAATACATTTGTTACGTAACCGTCACTTCTAAATCGACCTGGACACTTTTTTTGGATTGGCAAACGCTTGTAAGCCTCACATGCTTAAGACGAGTAATGTTTTCATTAGCACCGCTCAAACATGCAAGTAATTGAACATTTAAAAACAATCGGATCAGATACAAGGCAATTAACTTTATTAGGAAGTGGTTCTTTTTAAAGTTGCTCTCAAATATGGCCTGCTTATGTGGGCAACTTTTAGAGGGGGCGTAACATTAGCAATCGCAAATCAAAGATGCAGTGGCTTTTCATAACCTGTTCTTTAATATCTTCGCAGGACTGGACTTGAATTAGTCCCTTTCGATCATAAATTAATGTTCAAGCAGCAAGATGGGAATCTTCACATTTTATTCGTTGTTTGCTTGAAAGAACAGTTTCTATAAAAATGCAACACATTTTATCATAATTATTTGCGGTTATTGATGGAAACTTGTGATTTTTTCGGGCTTTAAGGACATCATGGAAAAGAAGAGTGAAGATGCAAGCCACTTGTGGTTCAGAGACGTGAGCAAGATTTTTTTAGCATGACTTCCTCAAATCCTGAAAAACCCGCCAGTTAATCTGACGGAAAAAAAGCAGAAGCAAAAGGCAAAACTGGAAAAAATCCCCTCATGCAATTGCTCTAGGTGTCGAAGAAAATGCAAGCTTAGATTTGCATGTTCATGTGCGAGATTTGACTCATCCTACATGCATGTTGTAGAAAATTAAAATTCAAACAAAAATGTGAATAAAACCAGTGACAAAATCCGGCTCTGTTCTTAACCGGTGTGTCGAATATTCTTTAGGACACTGTTTTCATTCTAGGTGTCTCTGAAATATTGTTTACTGCATCTCGGGTATTTATGACCTGTTGTTCAAGTGCGGTTCCGAACAAAGGGATATTCTTTAGCAGAAAGCTTGTTAACGTATGCCCATACGTACGATATTTCATTTTAAATAACAATGTTTATATATCATTACAGTTGACGCGGTATATTTAGATGTTTGGGTAATAACAAATCCTTTAACGATGAGTTCAAATCATTTTTTGTTACTGGTTGTAAATTGCATCGATGTCTTTTGCTTCGGCGTGCATTATCACTTGTCAATTATAGGGGCTTTCTAACAATATCTATTAAATTTGAATAATTCAGAGCTGAATTAAATAATTTGAGAAATGAACTTTAGTTTTCACTGGTAATCAGAAGTTTTTCTAGAGAACGTTAAAATTTCAAGAATAAAATAAATTCCAAATAGTATCGATTCAACAGAGGAACTAATAAGAAAACGAATCCTCTAAAGTACCATAAGCCGTATTGTCGCCGAAGGGGTGAATGTATAAAACGTGTCCGGCAAAGAGGGTCAAAATAAGAAGTACAAAAACGGACGCCTTATTACTTTAGTCATCGGCGATATATCATGTCTCCCCCGAGTTTTCCGATAGTAGCTGCATGCTAAAAATTTACGCTTCTTAAAATCCATGTTAAAAATATTCAAATTGTTTCTTTTTAGTAGCCCCTGCGGGCCCATTGAGGTTGACGCCAATTTTGCTGACGTGAAACTCTCTTTGGGGACCCTTTTACTCTTTCTAGAAGCTAAATGGCTAAAATTAATTTTTAACACTTAGAAGACTTTAACCCTCTCTTGTATATTACATTTTCTTCTTTGGCACGACTTACCATCATTACAAAAATGTTTTATGTTTCCGGTTTTTGGGCCTTTGGTGGATCGAAAGAGCTACATCAATTTCACTGCATTATGAACCACTTTTTGTCTATTTGCATTATTTTCTATGACGCACAGAGAATATTTTTCATTGATTTATCATTTTTGATTTGTGGCTCTTCCTCTTCTAATTCCACTAGCGTTTCCTGGCACAAAAAGTCGTTAATGGCTTGAGACATTATTTTTCTGGGTAGCATGAGATATCGTCAAACCCATCTACCTCAAGTGGATCAACAAAAGGAGATTTTCACCTTAAAGAGTAATCGATCATCAGTCTTCCTGCTTCCAATAAGAAGGCGAGCACTTTAGGAAAATTGTAGGTAAAAAGGTGGGGCCCAGATTTTCTAATGTGAGTGTAACCCGCCTATATGTCGATTCGATTTTCGACTGATGGCACCTCCGTTATTTTGATGGCGTTTAGCCCATCGCATCGTTAGCCTGATAAGTATTAATGGATTAATGCAGTATTGAACTGTCAACGCTCACGTTACTGCTCGTTCGATAATGACAGTTCATATTCATTGGATCCCAACTCCGTTATATTTTAGGTCCGCCATCATTTACCACGTTCATCTCGTTCTAAGTTTAAACCAAATTGATACCACTAGGGGCGGCTTTTAGTAGATGATTGTGAAAAAATGTGTTGATTTTTTTGAACAGCCCGAACCTGGAATTTCTTTGTCTTTAAGAAGGGTAGATTAAGAAGGCTTATTCTAGTGCTAGTTTTTCCTAAACTAGAACTTCCAAAAAATTCTTGTTGTAAGAGCCCTCCACTAGACAGCATTTTACGATGTTCGTATCAATTCATTTAAAAATACCAGTGCTTGCCAAACCTGCTTGCAACATGATCAGACTCGTTTGTAGGTAATGCGGAATGAATACTGTTTTTCAATATCCTAAGCCTTTACCAAACATTTCATAATCACGTATTTGAAAATACCGATGAATCTGTCAATAATCAAAAAAGGCAATTCGCATATTTGGAGTGCATTTGGCAGTGAAAACCGCTGTTGGGAAGTTTATTAAATATTGCATAATTCTCGTTTGAATTGTGGCATGCTCGAAAGTTTACAATGAATTTCAATCGGAGTTCGAACAATTTCCGATCCTATATTTCGTTTATAAACTTGGAATATTCTGCGAAACTATTAAATCAGACGGGAATGAATTTATCGAATGAACCTTGGAACGTATTCATTGGCGTCTTTAACCTAAAAACTTTTTAGTCTTTGGATTGAAATATTCACTGCAACTGTATATTATTCTGTTTAGTAGAGAATGATCATTTATCATTTTCCTACATGCACTTCCTAGATGCTGCATAAAATAGGGTCCGCCAAACAGATGGCAGTGATGATTGGTACATAAGGCATCAGAAATATATTAAAGAAACATAGGCAATGATGTTGATGTTTCCATTGAAATGCAATTTTTCGTTGCAAGTTCAAAGCATGGCATATGTTTGGAGACAATTATTCAAAGATTGGCAACTAAATTTGTTATGTAAAAGCTCTCTTAAGAAAAGCACAAACCATCAAAAATTGAGGGGCCCTTTTTCTTATAATGACGACGAATTCAGCGATATAATCAATCTTGCGAATATAGATCAATCAAAATCTCAAACCCGTTGTCTGATTTGCATGCCGACAGACAAGATGCTTATAAATAGGTCGAAGGCAACCGAAAATTGAGAGAGAAAGAGCCCTGCCTCTTATCTTACTTATATTTCAGTCCTTGAGCATATTTAATCTAATTTGACATGGAATGTTTTCTCTATGAAACAGGAATTTACCTCTGTTAGTCGAATTTAGCTATTATGAGTCAGAAATGGATTTTAAGTACAAAACGATTTGACACGAAAAGCCAGGAAATTGCGACCATGTTCCGGATTCACTATAAGGCCGGGGAAGCGGTTCTTTTTTCAAGATGGCGATTCACTAATCAGGAAGAATGGGCCGCACCTATGCAGGATTAAGACTTACTGCTCCTTGTCACGATACAGACGAAATTACCCAATCAATCAATAAACAAATAGCAGATTAACCTGACCTTAATGTACCACATTAGATATACTCGGTGTCGTAGAAAAAAAGCGCATCGATAACTTTGACAAGGTTACGGTCATGGTTTATAAGCTATCTTGCAGTTTACATATACAGTGCGTTTTTATTTCCATATGTCTGACCTATACCCTTCAAGAAGCAGTAAAGAGATATATCAGTAAATAAACCAATGGCGTATTTCGTGTTAATACAACAAATTATTTGTTGACTACCAAATTGAAAGGTCCGAAATTCAAGACGATAATCTCCACATGCAAAAAAGTGTATATCTCTAATGTAGGAATTCATCATCACTTATGCAGCGTTTAGGAAGTACTTAACTACAGTTATTGAGGACCCAGCGAGAGACAGTTAAATCGAAATCTCCTGTGCAACAATGGTCCACACAATTAGTAGCCGGGCAAAGTAAAAGTACTTTAAAGAATTTATGTCATCAGCTAAATCACTTAATGGAGTTTTTCGTGCTTGGTAATATCCTTTCTTTAATAAAGCTAATGAAAATGTAATAACCGTTGGTTTTGCATTCATCTAACGTGCGAGAGGATGTCGCAAGAAGATAATAATACATACGCTGTTCCAATGCTCATTGTAAATTATGCGTGTCATATAATTAGAGAAAGTTTAATTTTATTTCAGTGAACTAATGATTGAGTCAGCTGAGTGATTGCAAGCACATTGCCAAAAAAATGCATTATCTGGACTGTTGACACAAAATTGTTTTTTTGCTAAATTCCATCGTTTCTAAGTAAACCGTTCGGTTCGATAATTTCATTTTGTTTAAGTACCTCATCACTGTGTCCATTTCAGTTTATATTTAGCACAGTAACGATGGCATCTGAATGTGTTATTCTAATCGGTTATCAGCTGTGACATGGAGTCAAAGTCGTGGAAAACTGAAGAGAAAGATAAAACGGTTGGTTGCCTTATAACTATAAAGATGTCAACAAAGAGATACAGTACCGACTGTCACCATTCATAATAGAAG